TTCACATGTGTGTGCTTCACATGTGTGTGCTTCACATGTGTGTGCTTCACATATATGTGCTCATGTGAGGTACAGGCTAGCACTCCCATTTCCCCCCAGGGCTCAGCTACTTCTGTGAATTTGTGTTCACATCACCAGATGGCAGTGATGGTCAGCACCTATCACACATAGGTACTATTTAGGAATATGGTTAGAGCCAGGTGGTGCTGGCCCACACCTTTAATCCCAGCATTCCAGAAGCGGAGGCAGGAGGATTTCTGTGAGTTCCAAGCCAGCCTGGTCTACAGAGCATGTTCCAGGACAGCTAAGGCTACATAAGAGAAGAATAAACAAGAAGAATTATTATTGAGCTCAAAGCATACAAGCGTGAGGACCTGAGTTCATCTCTAACAGTCATGTAAAAGGTCTAGCATTGGAGCTGGAGAGATGGCTCAGGTGGTTAAGAGCTCTTGTTGATCTTCCAAAGGACACGGGTTCAATTCCCAGCACCCATATGGTAGCTCATAGCCATCTGTTTCCAGGGGATCTGATACTTTCTTCTGGCCTCTGTGACCACTGCACACATGTGGTGCTCATACAAGCAGGCACCCATATAAAATAAAAATAAAATCTCTCAAAGATGGAAGCAATGGAAGCTCCTCCCTGCCTGGAAAGCCACTGAGGCTAGGGACGTTAAGACATCCCTTGGCTGCGGGAGGAGCTGGGCCTCGTCCACCCCTCCCTTGGGGCCCACATTCCAGAGCCGTTCCCTGGCAGGAATGATGACAGCCAAGAACAGTTAATCATTAATCCCTCAAGAACCACTGAAGGACCCAGACTTAGGTGGGGCCCAGATACTGCAGGAGGCCCCCCTCTTTATTCCTGCCTCTTTTTCAAGCACCTTCTCCTGGAGGGTAGGGGGGGACCCCTCCAAATTGCCTAGGATTTAGTGAGTGGCCCTCTCGAGAGTCATGTGAACTGCTCTGGGAAAACTAGAAAATCCAGTTGCCATGTTCTCTTGGTGCCCCCAACACTGGTACTGAAGACCCAGGGTAGAGAGAGTCTATTTCCACATCTCTTCTGGTGTTGGAGACGTGGGGTAGCCACAATGGAGTCTTTGATGAGCCTCTTCCTCTTCCTGGCCCTCCTCAGCAGCTCACATGCAGGTGAGGCTGGAGGGTGGACACCTAGATCCCTGACATGGACAGGGGAGAGAAGGAGAGGCAATTCCTTGATTCTGAGCCTGGAAGGGATATGGGACATGTGTATCCCCTGCCCCCAAGGGAGGGGGTAACATGACCCTGACCGAGCCGAGTTTTTGTGTTCCCAGGGCCAAAGGTGACTTTGCAAGTAAAGCTGACCAAGGCTTTCCAGGCCAACGTCTCCCAGGACTCCAGCGCTCTGGACATGCTCCAAAAGGTAGTTTTTTGGAAGCAGGGTTAGGGCGGTGCTATGTGATTCTCTGGGTGCATGCAGGTCTCTGCTGGGGCCTGGCTGAGTCAAGCAGGGAGTGAGGTACCATCTTAGACCTCATCCTTGAATCGGTTTTTGTTCCCCAGATCTGCCTCCTCCTCCACCTTCCATCAGGGACCAATGTCACCCTTCATTATAAAGGGCCGTCACCGCACCACCTCACCTGCAGAGCCTGAGAGCCGCTGACGCCGTGTAGGCCTGAAGCATTCAGCTTTTGGGGAGTGAGCATGCCTTGATCTAGCAGGCCCTTGCCCTGCTGCAGGCTAATAAACACGTGGAATATAGTGATTCGTTCAGTATGTCCAGTGGGTCTGTGAGCACAGGGCAGACAGGAAAAGGGAGCTGCATGCCAGGTTCTCGGACTGATTCCTCCTGTTCCCTGAGCAGGGGTGACAAGTGACTCTCCCTTTACACCACAGAGGTCTGAAATATAAGTAACTCCATACAGATTGACAGACAGACAGACATGCATGTGCACATGCAGCACACAATGTGTGCACGTTCACACACACACACACCTGCGAGTGCACACCCGCCCCTCCAGCTGAGCTCTTTTTGAACACTCATGCTGTTGTGGGTCTCTACACTGCTGGCTTTTTCCATGTGTCGCATGTAGCACTCCTGAATGTTCCGTAACAGGCCTCATTCTCTTCTCTTAGAAAGCTTTTAGAAGCCGGGCACTTAATCCCAGCACTTGGGAGGCAGAAGCAGGCAGATTTCTGAGTTCGAGGTCAGCCTGGTCTACAGAGTGAGTTCCAGGACAGCCCGGGCTATAAAGAGAAACCCTGTCTCAACCCCCACCCCCAAAAAAAGCTTATAGAAGGTTGCTCCCCCGAGGTCCAACAGCAGCCAAGAAACTAGGTACCATACAGTGCCTTGGTTTAAGCAGGATTTTATTGAGCCCCAGGATCCTGTGTGGCCTGCATGGCTGGTCAGGGTGGAAATCCGGGTAGAGAGAGCTCTGAAGGAAGAGGGGCTCAGCTGAGAAGTGGCCAATAGGTCCCCCTGTGCTGTAGGGAGACAGCTGTTAGAGGAGTGTGTGGCACCTGTGCATGTGGACACAGGTGTGATCCGCCTGTGATTGCAGGTGTTCTAGACAAAGGGTTTATCCTCTCCAAGCTTCTATTCTATACACCCACGAGACAGGGATGGTGGCAATGCCGGCATCAATGCCTGCCTCCTCTGACTCTTCTAAGAACAATGTGGGTAAACTTGGGAGAGATGTACCATGGGGTCTGTCATTTGGGACACATGACAGGTGAGTACATTTGGGATAGACTGATGCAGAGAAAGGACCCAGTCTTACCAGTTTAAATGCTTTAGGAAATCCAGAGTCCTCTTCCTTTTTTTTTTTTTTTTTTTAAGATTCATTTATTTTGTACACTGTCACTGTCTTCAGACACACCAGAAGAGGGCATCGGATCCCATTGCAGATGGTTGTGAGCCACCATGTGGTTGCTGGGAATTGAACTCAGGACTCTCAGGACTTCTAGAAGAGCAGTCAGTGCTCTTAACCACTGAGCCATCTCTAAAGCCCTCCTCTTCCTACTTTTACCTGACTCCTGAGCTCGGCTTAGGGGCATATACCTTTAATTCCAGTGTTCCAGAGGCAGAGTCAGGCAGATATCTGAGTTCTAGTCTAGCCTGGTCTAGACAGTGAGTTCCAGGACAGCCAGGGCTACATAGTGAGTCCCTGTGTTAAGAAGCAAATTATCTTGGCTTTTCATAGAGTAAATCTTGTAGCCTAGACCTGAGGGACCCCTTGGGAGTATTGAGATGATGGCTCTTGTCCTTCCCAGTCCCTACCTTGACACTATCACCCCCATATAAGAGCTGACTCTCGTGGAAGCGCACAACATTCCAGCAGAGAACGTTTCTGAAGATGAGAAAGCATAGAAAAGAAGGAAGCAGAAGTTTGCCTTGCCAATTCTTTGTAACTGTGCTGGAACACGGAGCATCAGGGAGAGGGAACTACAAGTCCTCAATGGATACCCTCGCTCTATTACTTGTCCTTGGACTGTACCAGTAAGGAGGTGACCTACATGGGTCAGGTGTGCAGACTACAGATGTGTTGGGAGCTGAGGCTTGAGGAGTGGACAGAGGTCTATTCTTCAGCCCAGCTTGAAGGGCTTTACGGGGTTATCAGGGTGCAGCTTCCAGGTTATTTTCCTAAAGTAGTACAGTGGAGCTAATGCCTTGGGGTTCACCTTAGCTGAATGAGAGTTAGAGAGACATAGACAAGGAAAATAAAAATCAGTCTCCCTGAACTAGGTACATCTTGTTCGCAGAAGACATTTTGAGAAATGGCAGGACGGCATCGGGGCGGGGCTTCTGAACTGCCAATAGCTGAATGAGGAAGACCCAGGGACCACGTACGATACCCAAGGCAGCTTCCTGTTAGCTGACGTCTTCCTTGGAGCTGTTACTTTTCTTGTTCTACAGCTTGGTCTTCTCTCTTGGATGTTCTGTTCTCCCGGGGGACACACTCAGCAGCCCCTCCGTGACCAACAACACCCCGTTATATTTTATGGGACATCTTATCCAGGACTTGAGAAGACTTCTATCCAAGGTAGTATACTTAACTGAAAATTGCCAGACGGACTCGTAAGTCGCCCTCTTTAGCTCTCCAAGGGCCCCTTCCAAGCAAAGAGACACCCTGACCAAGTCAAGCTGATGGGAACCCCAGTCAGTTCCACCCCGGCTAGGAGTAAGGAGAACAGGCTTGGAGTTCTTGTGGCTGGATTGAGATTTCTCTCGAGAACCAGAGTGGAGGGTTAAACCATCACTCCTATGCAAGGAGACCAAACCAGACCCCAAGGCACTGGGGAAGAAGGGTCAGAGAAACAGACTCCCCACTCACTACACCCAAGAAAGGGCCTTGGGGCAGGTCCTTAGCTTCCTCTGCCTGGTCTTCGGCCCTTGAGCTGTGAATTGCTGAGGGTAGGCAACTGAAGGTAGGCAGTTCTGGGGGCAGGGAAGATTTGCGCATGTGTGCTCGCTCGCGTTCACCTGAAGCCAGAGGCTTTGGCACTAGTTCCGGGCAATTGTGAGCCACCTGACCTGGGTGCTGGAAATGGAGCTTGGGTTCTCTGAAGAGCTGAGACGTGCCTTCAGCCTCTCTTGACTGGTTCCTAAGCCGCTGTAGCTTAGGAAAATCCAAAGTGGTCTCGAAGTTTTCTGATACAGAGGGAAGTGATGCCAAACTTGATTTGAGTTGGAGGTGGAAGATGCCTGAAAATCTGATGGAGGCGGCTAGAGGTGAGCAGGGTCAGGGGGTTCTGTCGGGTAGTCAGAAGGCTTTGTTGGATGTTGGTACCCTGAGGGGCTTCTGCTGTTTGTTCAGAACAGGACAAATGATCCCTCCTCCCATACCCCTTCCTCTAACCCAGGATCTCCCGACTCCAGAGACCCCTACCCCCACCCTCTTGTGTGTGCGGATCTCTCCCCTGGCTTGGCCGGGACACAGAGTGTTAAGGATCTGAAGGCTTATGGGGGAGTGAGGATAAAAACAGAGGAAACATAACAAAGCTTATGGGGCTATAGTGAGGCTATAGTGGGGCTCTGGCGTTGAAGGGTTGAAGGCTTGCCTAGATCTGCAGGAGGTTCCAACTGCAGTCTGAGTTTGCAGCAGCCCAGGGTCAGGTGCTGGACAAGCTGCTGCCAGTAAGGCTCACCTGCTTGTGGAGGGAGGGGCTAGAGTTGAACGGGTCACTGGGTCTTCACAGATCTCTCTACTCAGCATCTCCAGGCTCTCTCTCTCTCTCTTTTCTTTTCTTTTTTCTCTTTACTGTGTGGATTTCTACCCTATTACACCCTGGGTGTCCACTTTTGTTTTTAGTTGCCAGTTGCTGTGACATAAACGGGCAGAGGAGAAAAGAACCTTCCGTATTCTCTCGATCACAGGCACCTGTGGTAAACAATTCAGCCTGGGTGCTGGGCTTGCTTTCAGATTATAAATTTGAGGGGGGAAAGGTTTAAATGAAACCTCTACTCTGGTTTTGTTTTGTTAAAGAATTATTTGTGAGTACACTGTAGTTGTCTTCAGACACACCAGAAGAGGGCATCGGATCCCATTATAGATGGTTGTGAGCCACCATGTGGTTGCTGGGAATTGAACTCAGGACCTCTGGAAGAGCAGTCAGTGCTCTTAACCACTGAGCCATCTCTCCAGCCCCCCAATTTTGTTTTGAGTGGTGATTTTATATAGGCAAGGAAATTCATTAGTCTGAGTAAGCTCCCCTTTTCTTTCTTGGTCCCAATAAGAAGGGAGAAGATACAGGTACCCATACGAGACCAGTAAAATCTCCAAGGGTGCTCTAGAGTTCCAGTATCTTGTTTACAGATGGGTATCATTGGCAGAGGTTCCCCTAGACTGTGTCCTTGCTCGTGGAGATCTCTCTGATCGTGGGTCAAAGAAAGGAACACCTGATATTTTTCTGAATAAGGACCTGACTTCAATAAAAACTGGCAGACAACTCCCTGCCCCCACACACTTCCTAAAAAGGGACCTCTAGTGGGAAGTATCAGTGTGTAAAAACCAAGTCAGTCTGAGGCTGAGCAGATCCTGGCGTGGCTGAGAGGTGGGTAGGCCGATTCCTTGCTGGTGAAGTTGGAGAAGCTGTTGCAGGTTTGCTAAGCTAGCTGTTGCAGGCTTCAGCTAGGGGTTGTCAGTGAAGAAGGCACTTTCAGGGCAGTCCCCAGAAGCAATAGGGGCGCCTCAGTGTGTACCAAGGACTGCTCACTCCTGCAGGGTCGGGAGAACAAGGGGTTAGTCCTGGGGCTTTGAAGTCAGATGGTTGTGCACATGCAATCACTGTCTTCTTGGGTTCCAGCTCAGCTTCCGGTGGTTAAGAGCAGGCATGTAGTTGTTAGCCTGACTACCGTATTCACCATTACTTTCCCACCTTAGATACCACCCCTCAGCCTGCCTCTGGCCTGGTCGCTATGGTCAAGGCAGCTCTGGGAGTTGGGAGATGTTACTATCCTAGTAGCCAAGAGTGTCCTTACAGTGTCCGTAATATCCTGCTAGCTTAGGGGCTGTTGACTCCTCCCAGTTAAGATAACCCTGCACCACTACGTACAGTTTGAGGCCTCCTTAAAGGTCCACTCCTTACGATGGTTTTCTACCTTAAACCCTTGGCCTCATGGCAACAGTTTCTCTTGATAAGTGGGCAGAGTGGACGGCAAACACACTGGGCTGGATGCAGGCCCAGCATGTATCTGGAACTTTGCAGGCAGAGTCTAAAAAGATCTGTGAACTGTGTGCAACCTGTTTTACTGATACTGGTCTCAGGTGTGCAGCTTAAGTAACCTGTTGTTTCCCCCAAAAGGTCTCCAGCCTGCTCTCCTGGGGACCAAATAGGAAACGGGTACCAGAGGTAACCCTGGAGGACAGAGAATGGCCGTCTGCTCTTGTTGATACTGGGGTAGTAGGCCAGGCCTGTGACGTTTCATAGGACTGGTAAAAAGCCATGTGCATTTTAGCTGGAAACCTGGCTTCTAAGGAACGCCTGCCTGCCTCCCTTTGCAGCTGGGTTAGCCATGTGATGATACTCTGTCCAACAATACAGAAGTAGGAGGCGTTAATATCTTTGAGGAAAGAGCTTCCATTTCAGACCATGTTTCTTTCAATGCTAACCTCTGTAATAACAGATGCTTTTATTACGGCAGCCAGTCAGTGTAACCAGCACGGTTCCCCGCCACACGGCTCGCTGTTCGCCTCCTCTAGGCCTCGCTTTGCGTGCTCCTCCCCACACAATGGCCTCCCTTGGTACTTGAGTGCCCAGAATGTTCCATCTCGGTTTTTCTCTTGATCCTTCTATGTGGGACACTTTCTTGCCCCTCCCAGAAGTCTTTGCTTAACTGCATCTTTCTAAGATTAGCTTGGTTCCCTCGTCCACCCTTTTCTCCCTGGCCATTTGATGACTTTTAAATTGGCTGTCTTACCCGGTGACCCCAGAGGGAGGAATAAGGAAACCTTCCCTTCAGGAAGAGTGCAGACACATGGTAGTAGCTAAAGTGGGTCTTGGATGTGGTTACTGTGTCAGGAAAAAAAGGCGGAAGGGGCAGAGACATGGAGCCCAAACCCGGTACTTCTGCGTGCAACAGGAGTGCTTGTCAGAGTTACCACCATGTTTGAAATTTTGCTACTGCCACAGAAAGGAGCTGTGCCCCAGTTATGCTGATCAGCTAGGCTAAACTCCTTTTGATGAGTTGGGAAATTACTTCATTCTCTGGCATCTTTGTCTAAAACGAAGCAAAACAGTGCGTTGTTAGGCAGCCTCCCTCTTCCTGGAGCACTGGAGAGGGCGAGGCACAGGGCGGAAAAGGATCACACTCGGAGTGCTTGGGGTTTATCTTTTTATCTCCATCTCCTCCTCATTCTCCAACTGTAGGGACTTTCCAATCTGCTCCCTCCTACAGAATGAGGAAGGTGGTCCGTGTCGCCTCTGAGGTCCCATTGCACCAACAGCAGGCAGATCTGTCCTTGAGAACAGGTCTGAGGAGGGAGGAATGCTGGCCGAGGTGTGAGTGGAGCTCCCTGGCATGGGGAGCCTCCTCCATCAGTTTCAGAGCTCCCTGGCACGGGGCGCCTCCTCCATCAGTCGCTGTAGGTGGGAGGCTGCCTGGTCCAGCTTTGACAGTTCCAGATGGAGGGAGGAAATCTGGACAAGGAGAAAAGATGAGAAAGAATGAACTGGCCTCCCTGCCCCACACCCTGCTAGAAACTCAGGCATCCTCAGCCTTACCCTCCGCTGCCTCTCTGCACAACCCTCTGACACGGTCCGGGTCAAGAGGTCATCAAGCTGCTTCTGTAACTTCTGCCTTCGGGCAGCTAGCCGGGATAGCTGGCTCTGGGGGTCCACCAGGCCCTGCAGAACAGGGGAGGAGTTAGAGACACCTGCAGCCTGCCCAGCCTCTACCCAAAGGCCCTTCCCTCCTCAGGGGTCCCTCCAACCCCTCTAGTCACCTGCAGCTCCATGCAGATCTTTGTAGTGTCACCCAGTGGGGCCACTGCCCAGCCTGAGGGAGCTGCTGCCCCTGGGGGCAGGAATCCTACAGCCCCACAGTGGCTCAGGACGCTCAGAGGCTCCAGGAAGGGCTGGATTAGGCCTTGTTCTCCCGGATCCGAGCACTGCAGCAGCACTGATGGAGACAGGGACGGTGAAAAGGTCAGTGTTGGCATCAGCTCCGGCCGTGCTATCATCCACCAGGACCAGCCTCACCTTGGGGTCGGGCTTTTGTGAGCTGGTAGGTAGCTCGGAGCATCCTCAGTGCCTGCACAACCTCCTGGACTCTGGAGAAGCAGCGCTCCAGCTCTGGCTGGCGCCAGGACTCCTGATGAAGAAACCCAGAGTCAGCAGGGAAACAGGCATTGATTCTCCTGGCTCTACTCCCTCTCCCCCTCCCTCACCTCCTCAGGAGCGTGCACACTGCTCCACCTCCAGGAGCAGGGCAGCATGTGAGGTGTCACCTAAGGGTTTACACGACCAGTGGCTGATATCTGTACTCACTCTGAAGGTAGCAACCGATCCCAACTGAGCTAGAAATATAAATGCTATCAAAACACAATCTAGAACAATTTTACTTTGTATGGATATTCTGTAAGCAAGCATTCACATGTAATGTGTGCCTGCCAGATCCCCTGGAATTGGGGTCACAGACAGCTATGAGCCACCGATGTGGAAAATGAACCCAGGTCTTCTGTAAGAAGAAATTCTCTTAACTGCTGAGCCACCTCTCCAGCCCTAGACTTTCCTCTTTCTAAGTAGAGTCTATGTAGTCCTGGGCTGTCCTGGAACTTTTAATATGTGGACTAAGGCTGGCCTCAAACTCACAATAATTCTTGAGGCTGAAAACAGCAATTCAGTGACAGTATCAAAAACAGTTGGGCTGGGCATGGTGACACAGGCCTTAATCCCAGCACTTGGGAGGCAGAGGTACGTGGGATGAGTCCAGGACAGCCAGGGTTACATAGAAAAGTGGGGGTGGGGAAATGGCTCAGCAGGTAAATGCTTGCCCAGCAAATGTGGCAACCTGAGTTGGAATCCCATGTGAAAAGCTTCATGGGTAACACAGTAATCCTACAACCTTCAGCCATCAGAAGGCTGCCCTGCTTCCCGGATCCCTGCCCATGACTCACCAGGCTGTGGGCACTGGGGTAAGGGGCCACACAGATGCTGGGGGCAAGGGGACCACCTTGCCTGGGGGGCAGCCTCTGCCAAAGCTCTTCTGCCAGGAAGGGCATGAGTGGGGCGAGGAGGCGCAGACCAACATCTGCACAGGAGAACAGGACCTGAGGGGGTCCTGGGGGACAGGATGCACTCGACAACACTGGCTTCACCGCTTCCTAAGGAGGGAACTGAGGGGTAACACAACAGCCCCGCCACAACCCTGGGTGAGGTGAGGCACATGCTAAGTTACTGTCACTGACACCATGCTAGCCCTGGACGTGTGTGTAAACAGGCCCAGTGATTCTCAGAGATTGGGGAGAGGAAGGGGGCAGTGTTTTTGTCTGCAGTGCCAGGGATAAAACCCAGAGCCTTTGAGCACTCTCCCCAGGCAGGTCTACCAAGGAGCTATGCCCTCTGCCCTGGAACAAGGCTGAGAAACAGGGTATCAGCACCACAGCCACCACTGCCTACCCTGAGTAGGAAACCAAGGTGGACAAGTCACTCTAGTGACTGTCCTAGACACTGCTTAAAGACCCTCGTCTGAAACCCACCACACTGATTGTCCCCCCAGTGTACAGCTGCTCACATTCTAAATGCAGCAGCAGTTGGGGTTGAAGAAACCCCCACTGCCTCTTTGCCCGAGAGTTTTCTAGACTTCCAGCCTTCTTCCTCACTAGGATAGGCTGGCAACTATACTATATACTTTGGGCTATATACTACAGAGCCCAGGCTCGTGAAGGGGGAGCACTGGGTGTACCCGCAGAGCTCTGGACCACCACACACCACTCGGTTCCAGGAGAAACCACCAGCTTACCACTCACCAGGTAGACATCACAGAGATTGTGGAGCCAGAAGTGGTACAGGGTGTGGGCAACAAGCGAGAGCTCCCGGCTGAGGAAACCTCTCTCGCATTCATTGGCAGCAAAGGCCAAACGGCTCAAAATCCAGGCGTCCATGGGAGAAGAGGGAGTTACCTGCAAGCAGGAGGCCATGAGGACCTGGATGGCTGGACCCCCCTGTCCCTGCCACCCCTCCAGGCTTACCCCTCCCTCCTACCTTCTCTGCTGGCTGGGGCACAAAGTTATCCCCCAGGGCACGGCGGATAAAGCGCAGGGCATTCCAGAGCTTGTTGCAGAAATGGCGGTAGTTCAGGACCTCAGAGACAGACAGGTGCAGGTCGCCCCCTTGGGGGAAGAACAAGGAGTCTGCTCAACCTCAGCCAGTGGGGCTGTCCACACAGACACCCTCTGCCAGACCGCACACCAAGGCTTACCCAGGATTCCATGGGAGCATAGTGCAAATCTCAGGGCATCCGTCCCACACTCGGGGATCCCGTAAGGAAAGTCCTTTTTCTGCAGCCAAGGGAAGACAGGCGTGGCCAGTGCCATTGAGGCTGAGGAGAAAGCTGGCAGTCAAGAAAGAGGCCTGGACAAAGACCAAAGTGCTCACCTGTGCTGCAGCTGCAACAGCGAGCTCTCCCGGGTCCAAGTTGCCGTCTCTCAGCTTGGCCTGCAGCACCTGGAGGAGAGAGGGGTCAGACTCCCTTTGCTCGCCTCAGACCTCTTCATCCCCAGCTAAAAAAATAAAGCCTTTGTTCTTACCTGCAGCTCCTGCCCACTAATGATGTCCCGTGGGTCTAGCACATTCCCCAGGGACTTGCTCATCTTCCGGCCCTGCCTGTCCCGGACCATGGAGTGAAGAAGCACCTGGAGACACGGAGGGTCAGCGGAAAGGACTTAGGCTCACGGCTTCTGCACTTAGTTAGGATAGGAAGTGAATCTGAAGGCACGCTCAGGAACAGGTGTCTGGGGATGGGCGGGCACTAGAGTACATTACCTTGCTGAAGGGGAGCTGCCCAGTGAGCTGGGTCCCCAGCATGACCATGCGGCCCACCCAGAACATCAGGAGGTCACTACCCGTTTCCAAAAGTGTGAGGGGGTAGAAGTGAGCGAGGTCTGGCGTCTAGAGTGAGATGAGCAGTAAGGGGCAGGCCTGCCACGGCCGGTCTGTGCCCACCTTCACACTCTCCCTTCCAACCCATCTCACCTCTCGGGGCCAACCCAGGGCAGAAAAGGGGAAAAGAGCTGAAGAGAACCAAGTGTCCAGGACGTCAGGGTCTGCAGACAAAACAGGGAAGGGGGCGGCCAGAGCCTTAGTACCTGAGGCCTCCAGGCCCTGCTGCTGATCCCACCCACAGGGGCTCGCCATCTGCCCCGATTCCAGCAGCCCTCAAAGATCTGCCCTGCCAGCTACTCACCCCTCTCCAGGGTCAGCTCTGCCTCTGGCCTCCCTGTCTGTTTTGCCGCTACCGCTCTGGCCTCAGCCTCTGACCGTCCGACCACCCAGCATTCCTTCCTGTCATCCTGAAAAAATTGAGGAGAGACAAGCAGGGGATGGTGTGAGACTCAGTTTTCACATTGTCTCCTGAGTGCTGAGTGGCAGGCTCCTCAAGGGGAAAGAAAGACGCTCAGATGGACTGTCACACAGTAGGTTCCACACAGAGCCCCCACCCCCACCTCGGCTACTATCTGACCCTGACTGAGACTCGCTCTACCACACTCAGTTGGTTCTCACTGACCTCTGCATTCTCACCGACGACCCGGTAGGCTGGAATCTGATGGCCCCACCACAGCTGCCGGGAGACACACCAGTCCCTGTAAAGAGGACACCACTGACACCTCAACGTGATGACTGGGTCCCCCGTCCACCTTCATGGAAGGCCCCCCACTTACCCAATGTGGGCAAACCAGTGTTGCCAGCTCTTCTGGTGGAAGGAGGGCCAGAGCTCCAGAGCCCCTGACTCCACAGCCTGTTAAAGATAGCATATGCTTTTAATCCCAGACAGAGGCAGGTAGATCTCTGTGAGTTCCAGGCCAGCTAGGACTGCACAGTGAGACCCTGTCTCAAAACCAAACAAAACACCTCAGAAGGGTGCCCAGTGGGACAGCCTAGCAGGTTCACAAGAGCTGGGCTCACACGGTGACAACCCGAGTTCACCCTTTTGTCTTCACATAGCACACACACAAATAGTTTTAAAATTTGTGCATGTATGTCTATTATTTGTGTGCACGTATGATGTACAGGCACACAAGTATGGAGGTCATAGGACAACTTGGGGGTTTGGTTCTCTCCCTCCACCATGTGGGTTTGGGGGACTGAACCAAGGCTAGGTTGGGCAGCTAGAGCCTTTCCCTGCTAAGCCATCTCATTACCTACTCCCCCCAAAACATCAAGAAACATCAGAAGGACCTTGCATGCTGTGCACAGAGATTCTGGGCTAGAACAAGGGCACAAGCCAGCCCTGCAGGCCCCCTTCCTGTCACCACCAGAGCCCTTATGACAGGAGGTTCTCCACTCTGAACTTTATCATGATCCTCAGACCCCACTTGAGGCCCAGTCCTTCCCCACACCGGCCCTTGCCTTGGCAGCTCGGTCCCCCATTTCCTGGCAGCGGATAAACCACTGGCTCTTCAGCAGGTGCTCCACCACGTCCCCGGAACGGCTGCGAGGAGAGCAGGTGAGAGGCCCACGAGCTAAGGAACAGCTGTGACAAAATCTCACAGAAGCCCAGCCTAGAGGCACCCTTTATGATCCAAACACTTGACAGGCTGAGGAGTCCCAGGCCAGCGTGGGCCACAGGACCCCAACTCAAACGGAACCTCCCCTCTGATCAGGGCATAGAGCCCGCCCTGCCGTCCCTCGTAAACTTCGTCCATTCCTATTCGGGAATAAGGAAGGATTAGAGCAGGGCTACCTGCAGATGGGCAGTACCATGGGGTGCTCCTGCAGGCCCCGGAACAGGCCCCGCTCCCTCAGTGTGCACATGATCTTTTCCCGGGCCACGAATCGGTGAAGACCCTGGGGGAAAGTGACAATATCAGAGGCTTCAGGCTAGACGGGAAGGCAGAGCAGAGTGCACCTATAGGAGACAGGGTGACACCGAGGCTCGACCCACCTGCAGCCAGTCTCCACAGAGGGATGTCATGGTCCCATCCTCTGCAATGACACTCAGTGGGATCAAGCCATGCCGGGTCCCCATCTCAGCATCCGCTGGACTGTGAGCAGGAGTCACCTTCACTGCCCCTGGGGGAAACAGCTGCTCTGAGACTTGGACTTCAAGAAACCACATCCCAGGCCTTATCCCCTCCTGCCTCCATCATCCCCACATCCCAGGCCTCATCCCCTCCAGCCTCCATCATCCCTACCACATCCCAGGCCTTATCCCCTCCAGCCTCCATCATCCCCACATCCCAGGTCTCATCCCCTCTTGCCTCCATCATCCCCACATCCCAGGCCTTATCCCCTCCAGTCTCCATCATCCCCACATCCCAGGCCTCATCCCCTCCAGCCTCCATCATCCCCACATCCCAGGCCTCATCCCCTCCAGCCTCCATCATCCCTACCACATCCCAGGCCTTATCCCCTCCAGTCTCCATCATCCCCACATCC